ATCATATGCCATATGTACAGTGTGTCTGTTGAAAGAGTTATTGGTTGCTGTAATTAAACATTGAATAAACTGCAGCAGGAATTGAAGTTGTATCTCTTGATTTCAGTGTGATTTAGTACCTTGTTTTTATCATGTATTTATTCAATGGATTAGTCAACCACTGAAAATCCTGTCAATTTATTTTATCCATAAACGGTTTCCAAGTTGATGTTCCAGAAAAGGGACCACCGTGTGACGATGTATCAATGATATCAAATTACACACACTCATAGAAGATTTTCTCTGCATCACCCTCAGTCATTCAGGAGTTTCCCTAACGCACTGCTGTTCAGGGTGGCCGCTGTGGGAATAAGATCAGCTGTTAATTCTGTCTTCCTATGAACACACAAAAGCTTTTCAGCATTTCTGAAGTGTTTGCTCTTGATCTGGAAAAACACCCTCGTTTTTGCTTATTCCTTAATGCTTTAATAACCTGGCAAATCCCTCTCTGGTGTAGTGTAGATGCAAAAGCCGCTGCAGATAGAGTACAGGAGGCCTCATGTGCTGTGAGGATAATTGTCCATTTTAATCCACTTCTCAGCAGTGTCTGTCAGTCAGCCTCTCAGTGAGGGCTCACAGCCCACCGGCAGTCCCGACCTGTCAGTCAAATCACATCCGCCAGGGCTCATGGGAATGGGGATGAAACGACTCTCTAGCATGTCACATCTTAACCATGAACTCCATGACAATGTTTCAGAAAAAAAACACAGGCAGCTGAATAGATTATAACTAGTCAACTACCCCACCATCTCTAAGGTTGCTCTAAATCCATGTAAAGGCTGTAGCCTGCAGCTGTAAGCTTTGCAAATGCAGCTATTATTGAAATGGCAAAGTGCCCTACTTACCCTTTAGAGACTAGCCCTGGAAATGAACCAGAAGTGGGTGGCTGACGGCGAGCTTTATGTTAAACTGTACGAAGCAAGGTTCGTCTGAGCGGCGCAGGGGTAAAGCAGTCGCCCACCAGCACTGATTTGGGTTAATTTCCCAACAGGGGAGCCTCTGTCTTGGCCTGGGCCCCCAAAGATTATAAGTGGCTGTGTTCATAGGTGGGAAGCCAGTGAGGGAGCGTGTCCCTGACTTCTGCAGACCTGTTCAGCGGGGCTTCCTCTCTTCTTGCGCTGCCACTTGTCTTGTACCAGGATATAAGTTGGAGGAAGCAAGGAAAGGACAGGAGGAAAGTGAATGAGAGAAGGAGGCAGTGTGAGTTTTTTAGCTTTTAGAATCCTCCTTTGGAAATCTCTTATGAGTAGGGAGTGGAACTGATGATTTACATTAATATAATACATACATCAATGATTATTTTTTAAATGAATAGATTTATTATTTAGTCTAGAAATGGCCAGAAATGGTGGAAAATGGTAGTAGAACCATTGTTGTGCAAAGCTCTGGCCGCACTGCCTGCTGCAGCTGCAGCAGAGCTTCTTGATTTTTACTTTAGTGCCCACGTCAACAGGTAAGAGCAGCATCACTGCTCGCATGAGCTGCAAGGCAGCAGTAATGCGTCACGAGAGCAGAGGTCTACAAGGTTCCCAGCAAAAAAGTGAAATAGTGACAGTGAAAACAATATGTATATATGTGTCCATATGGATGTTTTACAGCAACATAAACACCTTTCACTACAGTGTATGTATCTGTAGAACGTGTCAGATAAAAATATAGAAATAGTTTTTTAACTCAACACCTTCTGTGTCTGTTTCAGATTGTGTTTCTGTGCACAGAATGCATTCATTTGTTAACAAGGCTTTTGTTGTATTTATCAAAGACAAACTCGATGTAGGAACAAAGGGCTAGCAGCAGTGCAGGCGTGTGAGCCACTGCAGCGAGGAAGCTGTAATGCACTGCTCATGCATGCTGTGTGTCCAGGGTGTAAATGGTTAAAGAAACTTTACAATGTTTTGCACTTTTGCTTGATAGATTACCAAATTATTAAAAGTGTTGTGGATTCATTTTTGGTTGATCGATTAATCCTCTAACCAGATCAGCTCTACTGTTAAGTATCAGATACCCACCGTCTGCTTGGAAATGGCTTTTAAAGTTTGTAACTTTCTTCGTTTGTATTTATTGGCTAAGCAGATTGTTTTGAACATAAGTATGTGATGATGCATGTCTGTTGATGGGGAACTCCACTAATTCGACACTGGTCAGTGTGTGAAAACAGTTTTATAATGTCTTAGTCAAGTCTGAGAAAATAACCCCTGATGATATAATCAGTTACCTTGGCCTGTGCTAGAAGAGTTTGCACACTGGAAATGTGGAGTGCGACAGACATGGGCCTGTAAGGAATAAAAAAGACGATCTATCTGCTGCATCGATTTTGATCTTGCAGTATGTTGATGTCTGGAAAAATGGCAGCAATAGGACATGGCTGGTGTGTTTGGGTCATAAAATAAACAAAGATTAGGGAAGAAAAGAATTTAAAGGATGAATAGAGAGCCAGCCCTTTAGGAGGGGGTTCACTATGACAAGAGCTCTAATAGACATATATGGAATTGGTGGCGACTCTGGGGGTAAAACGGGGGAAAGTGAAATGAAAAAATCAGCACAAAACCAATTTTTTTTAGCTTGAACCCTGGCTGTACAGTTGAGCACAGCGGGTGCCTGCCTTCCTGCCCACTGTCCCTCAGTGGCAGCTCAGCACATTGAGCGCGGTGTCGTCTCTGTGGATCATGCTGCGCGTCTGGCCAGTTCAGTATAGCCCACTCATCCGTCCCAGTAGCCGAGCGGCAGCAGCAGAATGACTGAGCCCGTTGTGCTTCGTCCCGGTCATGTGACAGCTTTGTGTGGCTGAATGACTTTCCCCCGCAGCCTCAGCGCCATTATGTTTTATTGGAAGAGGGCTGCTGATGAAAAGAGAGAGTCAGCTCTCCCTCCGGGGGCCAGGGGGCTCCGCAAACTCGCAGCAAAGCCTGCTGGGAGCCCCGTCGCCATGACTGCGTCGGGTGGCAGGGAGAGAGCGGATGAGAGGAAGACAGGGAGCAGCCAAACGGCAATTTTCTGCTGGTAAAGAAGCCTTAAATCACATGTTTCACTCACACACTGAGGTCAGCTTGAGTATTTTGGGACACCCTCACAGTTCTTGTGCACAGATCTCAAAAATAGACACGCTGTAACCTCTGGCCAAAAAAACTGTTTTGTTTCTGGCTGAACATTTAAATATTACTAGTAATTTTACTCACATCCTGTTTTAGTAATAGTTGTTTTTCAAAAGTACTTTCTGACCTGCTGAATTCTCAAAATGAGAGCACACGTGTCATTCATAAAGAAAATAAAACCACAGACTTCGCTGGAAAGGAAGAGCGTCAAAGCAGGTCTTCTCATCTGGTTGTCCTCATTATCTTTGTTTTCTCTCTTGTTTCCTCCACGTCTCTTCTTCTAGTTTCTCTTTTTGTCTTGTGTTATCAGTGCAGAGAGGTGAAAGCAGTGTACCATCTCTGCCATTCAGCTGTTCAGTCAGCCAGCAGTGCCAGCCTAATGATCATTCCACTTGAGCATAAGCATCCACGTTGCCAAATAACAAGTTCCACACAAATTAATGTATATTCTTCCCATCATGCCCTGCTTCACATTTATTGATCTTGTGCAGAAAAATGCATCTTACTTTGATCAAATGAACTGTTCGGTCTAATTCCACCAATAACAGGAAATGATCATGCAATAGACCCCTGCATACAAACCACCAGCAGCAGTGGAAGCAGCAGCAGCAGCAGCAGTTTTCCACGTGGGCGTCTGCTGTTGCAGAGCAAACAGTCGCATCACAGAGCCCGCATGCACTTGCAGCGTCATTACCGCTATGCTCCAGCAATCAGCGAAGCCACAGAGACAGATTAAATTAGATTACAGTGGCTGAGCTTTAAAGTCAAATCAGCAGCTAATGGGTTCTAACATATTTGGCAGTGGTGACAGCGTGTCTTTTGTAAATAAAGGGCGGTTAGGAGGCACGCCGTGCAGTTAACCCTCAACCCTCCCGCCACACAATGACTCCATTGTGTAATTCTGCTGTCATTCAAAGAGCTGGCAGACACTGTAAAGTTTATCCACGCCTGGTGGAGAGTTATCCTGTAAATAAAAAGGTACTATGTGGTGTGTCTGTAATCTCCTCTTTGGTTAGTTCTGCCTTTTTTAAAAACACATCAGTAGTTTAAACTGTTGATGTATGTCCAGGGCAGGGATTGTGTGTGTGTGTGTCTGTGTGTGTCTGTGTGTGTGAGCATAAACGGCTCAGCTCATTATCACATAAGCATGAGGGGAAATATGAAGCTATACATTTCTTTTACACTCCCATTTAGTTATTTAACAGTATGATTTATTGATGCATTCATTTGTATTTTTTACATGTGTACAGATTTGGGGCTGAAGCTGTCACTTTACATTTTTTACGACTCCTGAATGAGTTTGTTTTGCAGTTCTTTTCTTCTTGCCTGTAAAGCACGCAACCTTTGTCTAATAAAAATGATTCTGTGCGTGAAATGAAAAGTTTATTTAACCAGTTGGCACTGAGTAGATTAGCCTGTTTGTGATACCCTACATGTAATGACATCTATTCATTCACACCTGGAGAAGTGAGTGAATGGATTTCTAAAATCCACCTGCCTGCTGGAGAGGCGGTGAAACGAGGCCATCTCACTGGCTTTTGATTGAAGCTGGCAGCTCGTGTGTTGTCAGCAGCAACTTGTTGTGGTCATTTATTCCAGCTGGACAAATCTGTGTTTATCAACCTCTTCCTCTCTATTCCACATCATCCTGTTTCATGTTTTAGCACAATGATAATAGGTCAGAAAGGCTGTACTAATAGAAGTTGAGGCTGACAGTCCCTTGGCATAGTCCCAGAGCATTCTGGGAAAAAAACTGCAAGACCCATTTTTCACAAATAAATGTGAATGACGGCGTCTGGCACACGCAGTTGATATTCATGTTTTATTGAATGGGACGATGAATAATTGAGCGTCTCTGTGTCCCTGCAGGGCCTCTGTTTTGGCGGCGCACAAAGCAATGTGGAGGAAATAAAAAAAATCCTGATACGCTGAAAACCAGAGGTACGACTCTTCACACTCCACTGGACTCACACACACTCATTTGTAACCTCACACAAACACACTTACAGATGAATTCAGGCGTGTTTACTTGCATGTGCACACTATGAAAACATGTAGATACTGACAGCAGATGGATGCACTGCAGAACACCCTCACTGTGGAGGATGTTTCCTTGTCTTTAAATGTATGTGCGCCATAGGGACACAGTCATACATTACACCGAAACCCACCAGCTGGCCCCACTAGCTGGGATTGTTTGCCAGAGGCCAGCCTGCTGTTCCAAGTACATACACATACCTGTGGTGCATTAGTGTGGACTGTGTATTCCATACTGGGAAACATGTGTGCACTTCCCTTCTAAAAGGCCACCATGTGTACCTGTTGTCTCTGTAGCAGAGTGTTGTTTCAGGTTGACCCACAGGGCAGCAGATGCAAACAGCTAAAAGCCAGTGTCGTTTTCCTTTATACCTTTACACAGTATATGACCTGACCCAGCTGTCTGTTTCCGCTGCTGCCATCTTTAATCCGCAGTGCAGCAGTAAGGTCGGCCCATCCATCGCTGCGGGGGTTAAGCCACTACACACTGCAACTACGCCACTATACGATTACTCATGTATCCCTCCTCCTGAACTGAAGGCTTTTTTTTTTTCTTATCCCATGCAACATATTTTCCAGGCTAAAACTGCAGCAGATGAGATGTTTCAGTTATTTCCTAATCCGTGTGTTAGCGTGCCAGGTCCCTAGCTAGGTTAGAGTAGAACACGATGGCACTGATGTCAGATTAGTTATCAACAGCTAGCAGCCTCCTCAAGTCAGAGCTGTCTACAAAGTCCACAATGTACCAGTCCAAGAACAGTTTGAAATTTTGTAAAATGAGAACTGTGTTAATCCAAGAGAGATGCACTCTGTCACAATACATGGATAATGTGAAAGAGGGCAGACAAATAGGCAGGGGTTTTGGGAGTGAAATAAAGCAGCAGTGTGGGTGAGCATACATCTTGTGTGAAAGCGCATAATGTGCTTTTAATTCTGCCTTTTGATCTTGGTTCAGTCCTTAAATAATAACAAGAAGTTCACATTATCTGATTTAACCAAGATCTGACTTGAAGTTTTAGACTGAACGCCCACTAAACCTTGTGTGGTTGGATATCTCTCTATGCTATAATGACTGTCTTTGCTGGGGGCGTAATGGTACAAAAAACACCACAGTTCTGTGGGTATCTTGGTTTTGGGGTCACAGTATGATTTGATGCTGTAGAGAAAACAAAAGCCCTAAGACATTAATTTGTTGGATATGCAACCTATACCCTATACTACAACCTGCATAGTATCAAATATAAAGTCAATTTGTCCATTCAACCATTTTTCTTTCATGGTATGCACACTCAAGACTCTTTTCCTCCCTGTTTTATACAGCTCAGCAGCTCTCTGTAGCCCTGAAGGTCCATCTATTGTTGGTGCATAGCTCCACTGTTGCTGTAACTTAGTAGGAAATGGAACAGTTTCAAATGGTAGATCTAAATGACACTGGAGGCTCTACAGCTCTGGTCTCATTTGTGTTTACATGTACATTCAGGGGCTATCCCAACTAGCATAGTTTGGCTAACAGACAGCAACTGTCCCACTGCCAAGGCTGTACAGGTGAATCTCTACCACTTTGGAAGTTACAAGGTGTGCAATGATGCAAAACAAAAAGGATAAGAATCAATAATTCCCCCTAAATGCATTAAAACTAAAGTAAGGAGCCTGTTTTGAAAATGTAAGGAGTAGAAACTCCTGTAAAAATGTAGAAGGGAAAAAGGAAGTTGTCAGGAAAAAAAAAAATATTACAGATACCTGAATTAACTACTTAGGTACAGTAATATAGTAGTAGTATTTGTACTTTGTTACTTCCCAGCTCTGGTACTAAACCAACAGTGGTTCCCAACCTGGATGCTGGGACCCTCAAAATGGGCAAAAGATAAATCTGTGGCATCACATGATTAAAGAAGTAAGAAAGAAAATTCTGTTTATATTTGAGACTATTATCTAATGTGTCCTTTTTATGATATATTGGATACTTATACCCATGCCCATAACCTGAGGGTTGTTTTTACAAACCAAAAGGTTTGAGACCCACTGCTCTTCTGGACACTTCAGGAAGATTACACATACCTTTACACCCTCAGTATTGCCTCAGAGTGTTGTGTTGGCTCATTTAATATCTATCGATATGAGCAGGGCTGACTATGATCAAGAACACCCAAGACACATTTGTTGTTAGTAGTTGTTGGTTGGTCAGTGTAACCTTGTCTTTTTGTCGTTTTTTTACAAATGGATGGGTGAAAAATGAAAGGAAGCAATTCAACATAATAAATGCAGATGCTTCCATACAGGACATGAGGGCTCACTGAAGGCTTTGACAATGACGGATATCATTTGCTATCATCGTCACTGATGTTCATCCCTCTAGTAGAGTTTCAGAGACTTCAAGCATCGACGACAAAGACTATTGAATGTGTTTTGGAGACTCATGGTGGCCCAACACCTTACCAAGACATGAACACGGAGGTGAAGTTTAGACCTTGCTAAGACACTTAATGTTGGTTTTCCTTTCATTTGTCACCCATCTGTACTTTATAAACTAGGATTAAAACACAAAGTCTGTTTCTGCTGAACAGCTGGCAGCCAGGCCTCATCATATTTTTTGTTTTCCTGAACAATTTCTGTGAAGTACAGTCCAAGTCAAGAACCTTCTGTTCTACACAGCAGCCATTTGTTAGCTTCACTTGTTATGCGACCTATTTTGAAGCCAAGGAGAGTCCATGTCTGGCCTCATCAGAGGCGTTTCAGTCTGTAGCTTCCTCTCGTTGAGTGTGAGTGGAGCTTCCAGTAACCCAAACCCAGCCTGCTGACAAAGGAGACACATTGTAAAACCCCAGCTGAGCAACGGACAACCAGCTATAAATGGAGAGGAGGGGTTTTTGGTAGAATTCATCAATGGGTTAGCTGAAGGAAGCTGAACAAGGGATTCTTCCAGGAAACCAGAGTCAGCTGAGTATCTAACATTCATGGCAAGTGTATTCATTATGCACGCTCAGTCATCGCTGCGCTAATAGCTCCTTTATTATGTGTGCTCCAGTTTCCTACGGTTCTTCTTCTGCGTGTCTCAGTGCTCGGAGATGCAGCCAGCAGAGCGGGCTCGTTGTGGAGCGGAAACGGTTTCGAGTGTGACTCTGCTTTTTCTGTTTCTTTTTTTTTTTTCCGGAAGAGCTTCTCGGCATTTGGGGTGACGGTGACACGGTTGACATCCCACAATACACAGCAGGCATCAGAAGACGCTCTGCAGAGCTAACACATCAAGAGCAACCTTACAGTGGGAAGCAGATGTATGTATGTAAGTGTGAGAGTGTGTGTGCTTCACTGCTCTTGCTGGGTGGGTGGTATTGTAGGCTGGTGAGAAACAGAAAATGAGTCACTGATTCCAATCATGTATTCATGCTTCCACCTCTCTCTGCCACTCTGAGAGTTTCTGCATTGTGCAGAAAGCAGAGTTAAACAGCACAGTGGTAATTATCCTCACATTATCCGAGACACTGATATTCATTGCTGGAGTCATTTGCAGCCATGAGACAGACAAACACATACTTGTGTTCGCCTTTTGCCTCCTGGCAGCTCCAAAGCTGACTGTTCGGCCTAGCCTCCTCCCAGCTTGTTACCTCCACGATAATGACTGTGCCAGTGTGGGCTGTGCAACTATTCTCTGAAATGTCAGCGTTACCCTCAGACTGTGGCTCCATTGTGGTTTCCAGTTTGCCTTATGTTAAGGAGGTGGGTAGAAGCGATGCCGCTAATGAACCTGGCTAAGCTTCACTCCATTATATTGACACATCTGGTGGCATTTTCCATCCCCATGCTTTTCTTCCTCCGCCTAATTAAGTTATCTGTTCAGGATCTGGGCTGCAAACTTAAGTGTACCCACCATAGTTCGCACAGGGTGTACTGCACTGTATGCTGGCTCTCTGTGCTTGTTACAGAGTCTTAAAGAGGCCTCTTGAAACCTCAGTGTGACACATCACCAGCCGTCACCAGCAGGTTCAGCACATAGAACGTCCCACCCCAGTCTTCCTTCGGCCATTTGATGGCTGTTGGGTACGCTGCTTTATAGGAAGAGCAATCTGTCTTGACCATCAGATCCACTCATGTCAGAGCACCTCGCTCCTATCCGCACCATCACTACACTGTCGAGGTGCTGTGTCAGAGAAAGGCGATATGTCGGTGAATTAGCAGCAGCAGCGCTCTGCCCCGCAGAGAGACGTCAGCTCTGGGAAACATCAGAGTGCTGCCGTGGTGCGCTGGATCCTGGGACCCTCAGTCAGCATCACACAACGAGATATCACTCCCATATCCATTGGTGACATCTTCATGTGCAGCCGTATATAGAAGAATGTGTGGCAGTGTGTTTGTAAATGTATTGTTGGTCAAACAAAACAAGCAATTTGAATAGATCACCTTGAGCTCCTTTTGATAATTGATTATTTGAGAAAAATAACCAAAGTGCAGCATTCCAGAGAACATGAGGACCTGCTAAATTCAGTCAGGTTATACATGTCAGTAAAAATATAATGGGCAGAGCTTTGACAAAAAGCACATTTCACGCTCCGTACTCAGTTTGTGGCTGCTGCTTTTTATTTTGGGGTACTGATGTTGCTGTCGGTGAATAATTGGTATGTTTGTTCCCTCTATAACAGATTATTCCCATGCATAGCAATGTAGAACAATATGCTAGAAATATCCCAAAGTAAAAATATACACACAAACAACAAAATGTGCTCAGAAATGCAGGTTTGTCTGCCAGTTGCTGCTCTTTTAGGATGGTTTTAGTAGTTGGGTCCCACTTGCACAGCAAGAATGATGTTTTGTGATATTCTGGGTTTGAGTTTAAGTTGCCGTGCTCTTACCCTGCTCACCCTTAATGTTTTTTTCAAACAAAGCAGTATAGTTATAGAATCTGAAGGAGG